CGCCCCCCCCCCCCCCTTCAGCTGCCTCACAATGACCTCTTGACAGTTTCTAAAAAGGAAAAACTGGGCCCAGGGCCAGAATTCTCCCCATGACCTCCTGCCGTCTCACTGAAGAACATCATTTGGCCCTCTTAGAAACTGTTTGTTTTTGAAATGCCATTCATTAATCCAAAAACCCAATAATCATATGCAATAGTCATTGCAATTGATATTGTTCAGGGTCATTTCTACAGTCTTTTATGTTCATCTGTAAATAATTAGCACTGCTTGCTAAGGCAAACATGGGTATTACTATTGGTCATACTTAGGTTTAAAGGTTTAACCACATTGCAATACCCTGGCAAGCATGCTAGCATCCTGGCGGCATCAATGTACCCCTCTTATTTTCATAGGAACAGTCTTGATTTTCATCCTTTGCTGTCCTCCTTAGGTCCACCAAACATAGAAGGATTCTGTAGAAGGATTGACTCATTTAGAGTAATTTGTTTGTGAATTGGACTACGCTGCTTGCACTGTATGTGTTTGAGTTACTAAAAACAATCAGTTCATAAGAGTCATTTGTGTGTGAATCAAACAACACTGGGCATGCTGTATGTTGTGTACAGGACATTTAGATGGAAAAACATTTCCGATTAAAAGCCTAGAGAAAAAAGTCTTGATTTTCATCCTTTGCTGTCCTCCTTAGGTCCACCAGACATAGAAAGATTCAGTAGAATGATTGACTCATTTAGAGTCATTTGTTTGTGAGTAGGACTACACGGCTACACTAAAAAGAATCAGAGAGTCTTGTGTGTGTCTTTAAAAAATGTGGGCCTAGTAAACATCCATTATTTCTTTTTGGCAATAGTACTATTGTTCATACTTTAAGGGTTTAAGGGTTTTCAGCCGCATAGCAATACCCTGGCAAGCACGCTAACATCCTGGCAGCAACAATATACCCCTCTCATTTTCATAATCTCACAGTGTCTTAGGGGAAATAAAATGACATTAACTTGTGCTAAGTTTGAAACATGTTGACTAGAGAAAAGAGTCTTGGTTTTATTCTTTGCTGTCTTCTTTAGGTCCACCAGACGTAGAGCAGGCCTGTGAAGCGAGTGTCAGCACTTGGAGCCCCAACGCCGGCCTAGACTCAAGTAGTGTTGGCTCAGCATCTTGCTCACCCCAGGGCTGTATGCTGCAGCTCGTGTTTGCCTATCCACTGGTGCCTGACTCCCTCACAGTTTGGGTCACCTTCTTCTCTCCGGAGGAGACTGGACTTCCTGCAGTTCACGACATCCTTCTGCTGACCCTCAGTGGTAACAACATCTCGCTGGGTCCACAGTATGTGTTCTGTGACACACCGTTGACTCTTAAACTAGATGTGAAGGAGGAGGTGTATGGGGTGCAGTTCTTCACCATGGAGCAGCACTTGGAAATCGACGCCACATTGCTCGCCTCAAAGCCAGACAATCCTCTGTGCCGGTCGTGTCATCCTCTACGCTATAGACTGATTCGTCAGCCACCGTTCGCTCATTCACCACATGGGCTGATCCTTCAGGAACCCACTCTGAGATATGTGGACAGGTAAGGATTAGGGGTGCATATATTATTTATATACTACCATAGTTTTTATCAATATTTTTGAATGAACTTTTCATTTTAGTAATTTTTTTTTGTAATTTTTTTGTTTTGGTTTTTATTTATTTTATTTCCAGTTAGTATTTTGAACGCTTCAACTTAATGAAAATGAAATATTGCCCTGGCAACTAACTGAAATAAGTTTAAGTTTTTATATAATATTCATATTTTATTTTATTTCAGCTTTATTTCACTTATCAAAAATGTTAATATTTTTAGTTAATACAACATCCAACATGCCTCAGACATGGCCTGATACAATTATAATTTCATTAGATTCAGGGGCCTGTGATCAATATAATAATATTACAATATTATTTGTCTATTTTACACAACCAGTTAAATTTATATTAGCTCACAAATGCAATCAAAATATAACATGAACATTTAATTTAACTCTGTGAAAATTGCAAATCCTGTATCCCAGTTTGGACACTTCCAACTTAAAATACACTTTAGTGTTTAAAGGGGTCATATGATGCGATTTCAAGTTTTCCTTTCTCTTTGAAGTGTTACAAGCTGTTAATGCATAGATAAGATCCCTAAAGTTGCAAAGACTAAAGTCTCAAACAGTCCCAAAGAGATATTCTTTATAAAAGTTAAGACTCATCCACGCCCTCCTAAAACGCCTCATTCAAACACACCCCCCACATGTCTACATCACTGTGTGGGAAGATTTGCATAACACCGCCCAAATGTATACGCAAAGAAAGAAGGCGTAACTTTGATTCTCGCTGTAGTATTGTTGCCGCCTCCGCCATGTCGTGGAGACGCTGTGTGTTTCGTTGTGAAAGTGAAACTACTTTGTTTGGTCTTCCAAAAGAGGACACAACTAGAAATCAGTGGTTAAGTTGTATTTACAACACTGTTCCAGAACAGTTCAACCCAAATATTCAAGTGTGTGCAGCACATTTTATGGAGGACTGTTTCCTGAACCTGGGAAAGTAGCCTGCAATGCCGTCTACACACAAAGGCTGTTTCTATAAAGTGGGGCAATTCCAACTTTGCAAGGACAGTCTGGTGCTTCTGACTCACAGCCTGTAAGTACGTTTTCATATTTAAAGAATTTGCCACTGACGATTCAAACACGAGTTTTGAGCAGTGTAGAGTAGCGCTTGTTGTTTGTCATTTCTCCGATCACAAATGCAGACATGGTTTTATGTTTACGCGGCGCGATATGCAACGCAACGTGTAAAAAGACAGTATAAGTCATTATAATCAGTAATTATGTCCCCACTGGATGCAACAAATGCCTCGTTTGTAATGAGTTTTATTGTTTTTGTGTCATCGCGCCGGGACACGGCATCACAGTATGGTAAAGCCGCCTTTCCACTGTCTCCGACGAACGACAAGCGACAGACCGGAAGTCATTAATTTCGAATGGAGAGTAGTGGGGGAGCTGCGTGGAGTTCCGATCATATGCGTATGCGGAAAATTCGGATCTGATTTGAGCTTTGGATGCGTTAAAATATTTGAACTTCTGCGGCTAGACCGTATGCGACCGCCCGACCGACCGGATGTGATGTATTCTATTAAAACTATGAGCGTAAGGTTAGAATTACCAATATTTTGTTCACTTTAACATTATTCTTTAAACACTATTTCTGTAAAATGGTGCTTTTGAATAATTATGGCAGAAATAATTATTTTATAATTATTAAATAATTATTTATGTTGATTAGCCCCATAAAACCTACTATGTTTTTATTTTGGTTGTCATTTGTTTTTTGACAATACATTCATACATTAATTATATTCATTAAAATCATAAATTTTACCATGGTGAATATGCCGAGGTAACGGTTGCTGCACGACCAATTTGAAAGGACTGTGCGACTGCCACTAGGGGGAGAAATGCGACAGTCGTGTCCGAATGTTGTGTGCAGTGGAAAGGCAGCTTAAGGGGCATAACAATTCCGTCACACGCTTGAGGTATTCGGCCAATCACAACGCACTGGATAGCTGGCCAATCAGAGCACACC